AATATTTCAAATAAAAATCTAATTAATTTTTTGTGTCACGAACCATCCTTGACAACCCTTATAATATTTCAAACTTCAAAGTTTAAACAGGATCAACAACAAGAATAATAATAATCTGTGGGTGCTACAGTCCATGATGAACTTTTGCCTGTTTTACAGTTTCTTAATCATACATAGTCAGTAGGACACCTTGGGTGGGGGATAAGTCTGCTGCAAGGCCACTACCTACACAGGACATCATAAACACAGACAAACATCCATGCCTCGAATGGGATTTGAAGCCACAACCGAACTTTTGAGAGGGTGAAGCAATTTTTCTTTTCATTGGTTGCATCCTGTTCTGTGTCTCAGACAGTGTATAATACTCGTATGTAGGAACTATGCTACCATCAACACAATAAATATTGTATATGCTTAATGCGTGACTTGCATGAATTATTTTCATTGGTTGCATCCTGTTGTGTGTCTCAGACAATATACATATAATACGAAGGGCATTCCGTATATAATGCCTCATATTTTCTTTGTGTTAATATATAATGTCTGAGCTGGATGTTGGTGGTGTTGTAGTAAAGGTTGAACCTTCCCGCCAATGTACTGTTAGTTTGGATGTCGTGCGACAGATAGTGACAGCAGAGCAGTCTACCAAAATGGCGTCTGACATAGAAGTGCATACGAAACAGAAATGTGTTATTGAATTTCTCACTGCCGAACAAATTGCACCCACTGACATCCATCGACGGTTGCTAAAGGTGTACGAAGATGATTCAGCGTATGTCAGCACAGTGAGGCGGTGGGTAGTGCATTTCAACAGTGGCGAAAGTGAAGTGCACGACAAGCCACGCCCTGGCCGTCCCTGCTCAGCTGCCACTCTTCACAATGAACAGCACCTCAATCAGCTCATCCGTACAGATCAGCGGATAACAACCAGGGAACTGTGTGCACGGCTTAACATCGGCTGTAATGCATTGGAAACCATGTTGGGGAAGGTGGATTATGGCAAATTTTGTTCCATCTGGGTCCCGCGGATGCTTACACAGGACCACAAAACTCATCAAATGGAAGTCTGTCAGGACCTGTTGCACCAGTTTGAGGCTGAAGGTGACAAGTTTCTGGGCAGTATCATCACCGGAGATGAGCTGTGATGTCACCACTACGAGCCGGAATCCAAAAGACAGTCCATGGAGTGGCAACATCCAGATTCCCCAAGAAAAAAGAAGTTCAAGACACAGCCATCGGCAGGGAAAGTGATGTGCACAGTCTTTTGGGATAGGCAGGGTGTAATTTTGTTAGATTTCCTGGAGCCTGGTGAGACTCAATTCTGAATGCTACAAGACGACACTGACTAAGCTGGTAGCCCACATTTCCCGAGTCAGGCCAGAGAAGCAGACAACCTTTCGCTTGCAACATGATAGTGCTAGACCCCATACAAGTTAGCAACCACCGCGCACACTGCAAAGTTAGGCTGGGCTGTCCTACCACATCCACCTTATAGCCCAGATTTAGCACCTTCAGACTTCCATCTCTTTGGGCCTATGAAAGATGGACTACACGGGCAACATTTTCCAGACAACGATGCTGTCATTGCAGCTGTAAGAAAGTGGCTTGCC